CAAATAGTCCTTAAGGGTTCGCCATAAGACTTTAATTTCTATAATGGGAGATGTCTAAATAAGGTATTAACATTAAATAATCAAAGTATGCCGTACATCAAGATTATGCTCAAAGTTGTAGTTTCAATACTCAAAAGCCTTTTGATGACATGCATGTCTACTATGAGGCCTAGTTAAAAAAAATTTAAATGTAATTTTTTTACGCTTCTTGTAAGTTATATGCTTCCCCCCATCCAACCGTTCATTCTGAATTGATGGCTAAAATGACTCCAATCATAATGTCACGTCTCTACAGTATTACATTTTATATTTATTTTTTTTACAAACTATTTTGACTCCAAATTTTAGGCATTCACTCCTCTCTTAAAGTTGCACCTCTAAAAAAAAAAAAATGTTCTCAATAAAATAAAATGCCTAAAATACCTCTGAAAGTTTCAAGAGGTATTCTAGTCATTATATTTTATCAAAAATTTATTTTTAATATTTTTTTAGGTGCACCCAATTGATATAATGGCACGTAACAAATTTCATATTCATATAATTTGTAGAAAAAATTAAAAAATAATAATAATTTGAGGCGTTGGATAGAGATCAAACAGTCAGTGTTTCACTTGGTTTAAATTGGACTGCTAGATTGGAGGAAACATATATTTGTTGGGTTTATGTGATAATTAAAAGTCTTATGAGAGCTTGTATAAGCATATTATATAGTGTGGTACTTTTGGAAACCATATTAGGTAATGCTATTTGCCGATGCTCGGACTTGGCTCGACGTCCTAGGCCAGTTGAGTTGGAAAATCCAAGGTACCTAGGCATATAGATAAACAGATGAGGGTTTAGAAGGTCATCCCTTGATGAGGCCATAATTGCATGAATGAGCGAGCTGGGTGATTGTGTGGCCCTTGTGTGAGATAGTTGACCACCATGATTTATTACATAATCCACATTTTAATATCTTCCATGTAGTAGGAGAAGTATAATTACCCTTTCTAAACTTTAAAACTCAAAATATATAGTATCGTACATCTTACAAACAATTAAAAAATTTGGAAAATAAATTATCTTAATAACAGGTAAAATTACAAATAACCCCCAAGATTAAATTTTCTATGCAAGTTACCCCCAACCAAACTTTGTTTCTCACTTTTTACCCCAAAATATATTTCTCAACAAATACCTCCCAACCCAAAAAAAAAAAATGTCTAAATTACGCTCCCTTATTTTTACTCATGCCTCTCTCTCCTATTTCCCATGAAAAGGCGGTCTAGCGTATTTTTAGGGCGGTCCAACAGTATAATGTCGGTTCGGTAAATAACAGTGGCAGTCCAACAGAACAAGTGGCGGTCTGGCACTGACAAAGAACACTTCGGCAATAGGCCCATATGGTCCAACACTGCCCAAGAGCGGTCCGACAATAGGCCCATGTGGTCCGACTACGTCAAAGAGCGGGTCCGACACTTTTTTTTAGTTTAATTGGGTCCGACAATATCAAATAGCAGTCCGACAACCCATGCAAACCCACATGAATGTTTGGTCAAAATTAAATTTTATGTATAAAAAAAAATATTTATTTATTTTTAGTTGAGGAGTATTTACTAAAAAAATATATTAAAAAAAAAAAATGTTGTAACTTTCATAAAAAGTCAGTTTTTTAAGTTATTAGTAATTTTCTCTTTGTTTATTGAGGTGCACGGCGCCCGAAATAGATACGCGTGGATCATCGAATTCCTGCGCTAAAATTACATTTAAGAGGTGCAGCTTTGTCTCTGCCTTCTTAATTTTGACCGTCGGGCCCTCCCATTTCATCAATGCCTTTTTTCATAATATTGGATATTTGCTTCTCCGGGTGGTTGGCTTTGTGATACGAGGGGCAGATGGAAGGATATTTCATATTTGCTTCTCCAGGTGTCTATGTGATACGAGGGGCAGATGGAACGACGCCGAAATATCACTCTCGCAATTAAGGTTCCGATGGCGGAGCTAGAAAAAAGGAAAAAATTTATTCAAGGATGCAACCTTATAATGTAGAACTAAGATGCAATTCAAAAATCCATTCAAAAAGGTGGTTTTAATGTTTAAAAAACCCTTTGATTGATCATCTTTTTATTATCATGAAAAATAAAATGATTTTAATTACAAATAATATATTTTACAACATATTATCTATACTGTCTATTTTCAAAATTTTCATATGTTTATAAATGTATTTTATTTTAACTATTTTTAAAATTTAAAATTTAAAATTTTATAATTAAATATAAAAATAGATTTTGAGATAATCCTAAAACATTTTACATCAAAATTATACACCAGGGTCAAATTTAAGGGCGCACCTTACCCCTACAGCTACCGATGCATTATATGCCCACTCACTCAAAAAAGAAACCCCCTTTTTATAAAAATTACCATAATGCCCTACTTTTATCGTTGGAAAACTCACGATTAACCCGTATCGCTAGAAAAATTACAAATGGATAACGATTTATGCTGAATTGGACTCGTCATTGTTATAAAGAGTTCATTGGTAATAAGATATCAAGCAATTAGGTATCAAAATTAGATGGCTTAGGGTGGACATAAGTGTACTTCATGGCGTGAGATGTGAAATATTAAGAAATGGAGTGATTTGTGACTTTTTTGTATTAGATAATCTGAAATTTAATTTCCTCGTAAAATAATCACCAAGAGAATTGAAGAAGCTTTTGTTTTGTTTCAACTAGTGGGACATATGTTTGTTATGCTTAAAAATATTTTTCGGAAGTATTTTCACATGAAAATCACCAAGAGAATTGAAGAAGCTTTTGTTTTGTTTCAACTAGTGGGGCATATGTTTGTTATGCTTAAAAATATTTTTCGGAAGTATTTTCACATGAAAAAACCCCTTATGTAATCAGGGCTTGAGTTTTTCGACACTGAGTTCCAATGCATTTTTTTTACACCAATTGGAAGCCAATTGGTGTGAAAATGCTTCTTGAGAAGTATTTTCACGCATACCAAATAAGTTTAAGCCAATTTTGTAAGGAAAAAGTTTACATAAAGCTGAGACTCTAAAGAATCAAATTAGAATCTACCTCAAATTTTTCACTAGAAGATATTGTCTTGATGCCCAAATATCTTCAAATTGATTATCTCGACATCAATATGCATGGGCACGGGAAAACAAATGGATTTCAAGTTTTGGAAATCTTGTAACATATTTTTGGACTGTCAATTTTCAAGATTTTCAAGTTTTCATAGATCTGCTTGAACTATACTATTTTTTAAGCTTTAAATTTTATAATTAAATATGAAAATATATTTAAGGCTAACACAAAGATTTCCATCATTGAAACCGCATTTCTTGATACTATTTGAAAGTGCATTTTACTTTGATTGTTGGAACCTCGGCTTTATACAAACCACACCCATTTTGTTGTTGCCTTCAGTTTTGATTTTAAAATTCTATACAATTTCTGTAAGCCCTAGGCTTTACGAAAACAAACTAAAGTCTCACACTGAATCCTCATCCGGAAGACACTTTTGGTATCAAAATCTCTATAACGGTTCTAAAATGAATTTCTAAGAGTGACTATGAAATTTTTAAGTTTAAAAAATGGTAAAAATCTTGCACATCCATGAACACTTATTTTTAAAGTGGAATGACTTTGTCTAGAAAATGTGTTACAATATACATTAGTTTTAAGGCTTAAAATCTTTGTTTTTCTTTACAACTATAACGGTCACGCATCAAGATGATCGATTTGCAGTTTTTTTTGTTTTTTTTTTACACCAATAATTTTTAACGAATTTTAAGATGAGGTTTTATGCTCTTTATTTATGGGAAAAGTTTCTAAACTTCCCCTACAACATAGAAGATTTATTATTCCCCTACCATCCAGCCGTTCAATTTTATCAAGAGAGCCACTCACCTTTTGATCTTAGATCCAATGTCTCAAAGTATTTTATTTTTAGTTTTTTTTTTGTACAAATTGTATGAATATGAAATTTGGTACGTGCCATCTTCCCATTAGGGCGCACCTACAAAAAATATTAAAAATAAGTTTTCGATAAAATATAATGACCAAAATGCCCCTTAAAAATTTCAGGAGCATTTTGGTCATTTTATTTTATTGGAAATATTTTTTTTATATTTTTCACTATTACAAGTTTAATAGAGGATTAGACGTCCAAAATTTAGTGTCAAAATAGTTTATAAAAAAAAATTAAAAATAAACTAGTGTAAAGATGTGACATTGTGATTGGAGCAATCTTTGCCCTCCATTCAGAATGGACAGCTGGATAAAGAAAAACATATAAGCTTTATGCAGTAGCGGAAGTATTGAAAGCTTGCCTTTTATTTATTGGAAAAAGTTTATATAAGATTGTAACCTTACAATGAAGAGCTACGGATGCACTTAAAAAATCCATGAGAAAAGGTAGTTTTAATGTTGAGAAACCCTATGATTGATCATCTCAATCTCGAGATGTATGACCATGAAAAATAAAAAAAAATTAAAATCTTATAAATAGTATATTTTACAACATATTATCTACACCGTCCATTTTTAAGATTTTTATATATTTATAAATCTACTTAATTTTAATTATTTTTTAAATTTAAAATTTTATAATTAAATATCAAAATAAATTTTGAGATAACTTTAAGAATATTTTGCATCAAAATTAAATACGATTGGCAAAATTTGAAAGCCCACCTGACTCCAAAAGCTACGTATGCATCCGTATCCCATCTTTACTTCTAGAGCTACGTATGCATCCGTATCCGAACTGCACCCTTATTTATTTTTATAAGATTGCTTCCCTATAAAATATATATTTTTTAAAAGACGTAGGAATATTTACATCGGATTAGGGCAATTTAGGCACTTTATTAAAAAAATGATGTTCTTTGCAGGATTTAGAGGGGCCTGTCCGAGTCGAAAGAAGAGTTTCCGGAGGCGGAGTCTCAAGGAGTGAGAGTAGTAAGAGAGAGAGAGAGTGAGGTGAAGAGGTTTCAGAGAACCATTGTCAGAGAGAGAGAGAGAGCGTGGAGAGAGAAAGTCAGAGGGAGAGAGAACTGACTCCTGAAATATGCAGAGAGTACAGAATGAGCATTTGGACGTAGAAGCTGACAGTGAAAAGTCTTGAAGTTGCAGTTTAGAGAGCGAGAGAGAGAAAGCGAGTACTGAAATCCAGGCATGAGCAAAGGAACAAGGGCGTTTAGGAAGGGGAGCCGGGTCGAAGTTGGCAGTGATGAAGATGGCTTCAAGGGTGCCTGGTTCACTGCAACAGTGACGAAAATGGTTGGAAAGTTCAGAGTTACTGTTGAATACGATAACCTTATGAGTGATGATGAGAAGGGGCCATTAGTTGAAACTGTGGAGGTCCTCAATGTGAGGCCATTGCCCCCTTCTGATACACCTCGTGCTTTCTCTCTCTACGAAGAAGTTGATGCTTTCCACAACGATGGCTGGTGGGTTGGTGTGATTACTAAGGTGATTGCAGAGGGTCCCACGTATATCGTGTATTTTAGGAACTCCGGCGAGGAGATGCTTTTTGAGCTTAATGAGTTGAGGGTTCATCAAGATTTCGTTGATGGGCATTGGGTCCTGGCATCTTCACAGGTATCATATGCAAATGGTGCCCTCACTCTTTCTCTTTCTCTTTCTTAAGGTTTCTTTTCTCTCTCTAGAGATGGGTTTTGGCTCTGTACAAGTTCTGAATTGCATTCTTTCTTTAGATGGGTTTAAGGCTCTCTCTGTTTGTGCATGCATTGCCTCTCTCTTGGCTTTTAGCATGTGTCATCTCTCTCTTTCTAGCTGGGGTTTAGGCATGCAAGGATCATAACCTTTTCTCTCTCTACAAGTTCTGGTCTGCAGTCTCTCTTTCTTTCCCTATGGTTTTAGGTTATATATAGTTTTTTTTTCCTGTATATGTTCGATCTCTCTCTTTTGATGGGTTCAGTCGTCCTTTTCTTCTAGCAAAACAAAATGTTGTTCTTTCTTATTCTCACTCACCAGACGGCTCAAGCTTATAGGGTTTGAAATCATTGATCTCTGTCTCTCTCTCCACATGGTCTAGGTTTCCTTGTGTATATTGGTTTGCTGCAATCTCTTCTCTCTTTTGTTTTGGGCGCTATATGCATGAAGTTTTGGCCCTTTTCATTTGTTCTTTATCTGGTTTCCATGGTGGTTTTCTGGTGTTTGTGTGCCTCATGTTGTTATTTACTTATTTTGGATACTTGTTGCTTATATCTGTAGAGCTGGTTTCGATTCACGTTTTTATTGTTTTCTTCATGGGTATTTTTCTTGTTGGTTTCTTTTTGTTCTATGTTGTGTTGTCTATGATCCAGGTGTACTTGAAAATGTTACATCAGTTTGGTTTTGTTTTTCTGATTTTGATAGGTATTTTTATTATTCCCTTTCCTGTTCTCTTTATGCATGCTCCATTTCTTATGTTTTTGTGGTTCATTGGCGGGTTTAACTCTGCTCTTGTTGGTTGATTTGATGGTTTCTAATGCATTCATTTTATGTGGTTGATCTTTCTATTCTCTTGAAGGTGCGTGCTTCAGTTTCTTCTGAACCCTCTTGTTTGTATCTCTTCCTCTTTGATGATCGTTGGTAGCTTTTCTCTATGAAACTGAATATGAACTCTTCACTGTATTCTGATATATTTCTATCCTTGTCCCATTTTATAATTTTTAATCTCTTGAATTATTCTTTGTGCGTATTAGTTCATCATTTTCTGGCACATGTTATAATTATAGTCAAAGAGCTTCTCCTTACTGGTAGTTTCGAGACTCACTTACTCTTAGATTCAGTAGATATGGAGTAACCTATGTGGTTCTTAATAACCACTAAATAGGTTTAGAGCATGGTAGATTCAGCCATGGTGTATAGGATGGAGTTTCAATACTTTGCTTTTGGAAAAGTGTACAATGTGATTGTGTACCTTTTGTATAGAATTTCACAATCACCCCAAGCTGTCGGATGTGAAATTAAGCCATTGGGGCAGTACCATGGACCATGCTCAAAATCCAATAAATCTTTCCTTGACTTTGTGCAATGAAATGAAATCATAGTTATCCGAATCTCTAAACAAAGATCGCGATTCCGATTCGGAACCCTGAATCAACAAGTTTGACTAAGATTTACGAAACCTGTTTATGTGAAGTCTAAAACCTTGATTCTTTCCAATATTTACTGAATCTTCTCGATTCCACCATTGGTGAATTTCGATAATAGACTTAATTAAACTGGTTTCCACATTCATTGGAATTCCCTCCCCACCCCCCCTCCCCCTTTTTTTTTTATTTTTTCCTTTTGCCTTTTCCTGAGAAGTGATGTTTAGAAGTTTTTAAGGCATTAAACTACTTGAGCTAGACACTCAATCTCCAACAATAAGGTGTAGTCATCTTTTTTATCAGAAAATGACTAATAGAAACCAAATTGGTGGTCCATGTTCTCTAACGATATTATATTGATCCAATGTAACATAAATAATGTAAACATGCATGTATGCATGTTGGTCAATGAATGACATTGAGACATTTATTGTTTCCTCCTCAGTTCCATCTTGATTCCAAGGATGTTGGAATCTCGATTCCATGGATGAAGGAATCCCAATTCCATATTGCTCAATTGTAACTCGGTCGGAAACTCTATTCCAAAGATTTAGGAATCTTGATTCCATCTATGTAGGGATCTTGATTCTATTTTGGTTGAATCTCTATTTCGAAGAAAGGGAATCTCGTCCCCCACAATTCCTCTTGTATGGATGTCGTTTTCGAAAAAAGGAATCTTCCAACCAAAGGCCATTCCACGCATTTGATTCCTAAATCGATTGAGTTCTGAATCGCTTCGCTTCAGGTGAAACACCCTTGTTTACATCTGACGGCTTGGGGTGCTTTTGACCTTTATGTACTAAATCTAAACGTATACAGTCGCTTTACTCTTTTCTGTGTAAAGAAGGGGATGTAGCTATAAAGACCATGGTGAAGCTCTTTGATTTCATGGAATAGCTTGTCTTAATGATCATTTCTTTACCTGTGCCTATTTACATCGACCTAAAATTTAGAGTAAGCTGTCGTGATTTGGGGTGTGACTGTATTGTTTATTTGTTTTTGCTGGCCAGGAGGCCCATAATTCAAGGTGTACCTCAGGCTGATCGATGTCATGTACCATGCTTCTTGATATGGATCCATTCGCTTGTTGATCCTCCCCTCTTTGGGCTTGAAGTGTTTGGTTGGAGGACCATCCTAGTTTTTAGATTATGATCCTAGTTTTTAGATTATGATAAAAGATAATTTAGTTAGTTCATCAAAAAAGTAATAAAAGAAGTGTGTGGTTTCTATAATCCAATTAAGGTGCACCTCCAAATTTTATCACAACATGTAATTTTAGTGTAAAAAATTATTAGGATTTTCTAAAATCCATTTTCATATCTAATTATAAAATTTTAAACTCCAAAAATGGTTAAAATCAAGTAGATCTATGAACATATGAAAATCTTGAAAATGGACGGTCTAGATAATGTGTTGCAAGATGCACTATTTCTAAAACTAATTTTTTTTTTTTTTTCATATTCGTACATCTCGATGTCTAGATGATCAATTAGAGGGTTTTTCAGCATTAAAACAAACTTTTCCGATGGATTTTTTAAGTGCATCTTTAATTCTACATTTTAAAGTTGCAACGTTATATAAACTTTTTTCCATAACAGAAAAGCTAAGTTTGGTCACTTCAAATTTAAAGTTGTGTCTGTTGTCAATAAATGTTGAGCATTTTGTTGGGTGCAAATCGAGTTGTAACCAAAGAGATCTATCTGATTAATTTGGTGATTCTCGGACTGAAGGCAAAAGCTGCTGTAGAGTTGTCATAAATTGATGTAAATAACTCTAACCTATTGGAGTAGCATCAGGGCCATCTCAAGGCAGGGATTTATTAGTTGGATGCCAAAATCAAGAGGTAGATGGCTTAAGAAGGTGATATAACTGCTAACTTCTTCCATAGAATTGCATCCTGCAATATAACGTTGGGGCAGCTCTGTGAGCTACATGGAGAAGTCCTATGACCAGGGATCCCTATATTAAATTCTTGGTCTAATGGATAAGCAATCAGTACAGCAGATGGATATTGACTATCCTTTGAAGCCTTTATTTTAGTCAATGTGATATCCAAGCTTTTTTAGTTGTTCTAAACTTTATTTTATTTTTATCGATAATGTAGTTGTTCAAGTTATTTTTGAGAAGGAGATATCCTCTCTTCAATTTTGTATTTGCCACAACCTGTGAAGCTTTTAACCAACTTGTTGATATCTTCATTTTTCTGTTTCTGATAATCGCCGAGGCTTTTAACTGACTAGTTGATAAATCAATAAGAAAAAGAATGATAAGAGATTTTAGGTTGGTATGTAGAGCATATGTGGTTTCCCTCATCTTCCATTTGCAGTTTCGCGAGCTTGTTCTCTGCAGAAAAATTGAGAATGATACTTAGGTGCTCTATTTATGTTACAGACCCTTCTTTTGGGCCTGTTTCTTCATTCTCCATGAAGGTAGGGTGACATACTTAATGGCTATATTGGGTTATCAAAGTAAAAAGTTCTAGTTTTTTCTATCTAGATAGAGAGAACTTTCCTCACAACCAAGTATGTTTCTGGCAGTGGACATTCTCATAGTTATGCAGTTTCAATTAGATATTTTCAGCTAGATATTTTTCTGTATAAATTGAATGGGATGGGATGATGCATCTGTGATTCGTACAATGCTTTGTCTTTTATTTGAATTGATTTCTCTTTGCCCCTCTCTATGATTTTATGGTTGTATCATAAATTTACAGTAATAATTATCTTTATCACACTTTTGGTGACTCGCAAAGACTAAAAATGATGCCAATGAGGCAATTTACGCACTAGAATGGTCCCAGAAGAAGTGTTTGTTATCACTCTTAAATTCCTCTTACAAGTTTGTAGTCCATGTGTGCATTATATATACCCATAGAAAAATGTGCTTAGTGTTTATGGTTTTATCTACCTTAGTGAAAGTAGTTCAAGAAAAACTACCAAATAGCTGTCACTCTGTCTTTGGTTTAGCAGTGTGACAGCCTGGATTATGGGTAGTGATCATGGGTGTGAACTTTCTCATTGAAACCTAGCTTCCCAAAGAAGGTAAAAAAGACAACCAAGTAACTTCTAAACTAGGTACTCAGTAGTCAGAAAGTTATAGCTGCTTGCCATTTTTTTTTTTTTGAGGCTTCTACTGTGCTTCAGAAATGTAAGGGCCATACATGAATTTTTATTTTGTACTGCTGTGCTCCTTTCATTAAACAATGCAGTTTCTTACTCTTGGATTGTTCCTTATCCAAAAAAACGAACATATATATTGCATTTGTCTTGTTAAGCTTTTCCTTTTCATTCCTAAGATATCTTTTGCGAAACTGTAGCATGTCTATATTTTTCGTATGTCTGGGTGGCACATTTAGGTTCCATACTTTGAAGCTTTTGGCCTTTTGTGCTATTCTTCTGTTGGAAGCACCATTAAACACAACAAACAAAGAGAAACTATCTAACAATGGTACTAGATTTTGACATTTAGAACTTACTTTGGCTTATGCATTTAGTTTTATAAGTTATACAGCTTTTGTTTAGCCCTATGCTAATGTGAATGCCTCCTATCTCACCTAGGCCTCAAGTAAGTGGGATACTATAAATGGCATGACTGTATGTTGTTGCAACCCCGAGTACTTTCTTTTAAAAACTAATTTGTGTGGCTCCAATGCCGAAGAGGAGGTCTTTTGATCAAAAGTAAGAAACATTAGTAGAAATACCTTCTACTAACCAAAATAAGAGGTCGAATGGATTTGTTTGTTGGCTCTTGAATTAGACATTCATTAATAGGCTTTTGGCAACTGTGGTTGCTCTCTTTTTTCTTTATGCTGAGTTTTTTAGCTTCAGGTTTCATTGGCCATAGCCAATGAGGAAGTCCCTTCTTGATGGAATAAGAAGAAGACACGAGCAGAATTAGTCTAGTACTGACCCGAAAAGCGCACAGAAAAACTGGGGCTTTTGCCTACTGAAGCTAGCCATTCGTTAATAAACTAACCACAACTGAAAACTATCAAAGAATATAGTGTCTGAGTACACGTCGACATAGCAATGCCTTATAGTGTTAGTGCTATTCATCACTGTCTTATCAAGAGGGATTCACTTTTTTAGAAATGAGTTTCAAACACCCAATTGTGATACCTAGTAACCAAATTTGTATTGACCAATTAGAATGCCATTTATGCATAAGTCACTTTTATAAGGAATCGAGCTTGAGCTTAAGTTGTTAGCCGTTGATTTTGGCAATTCTACATCTCGAGTTCGATTCTGAGTGCTGAACTACCTTAAAAAAAAAAACAAAAAAAGTCGTTTTTATAAGAAACAACCACACTTCATGGAAATATTTATTCAAAACATGCATATTCAAGCATGGGGTTCACTAGTTCACAGAAGACGTCAAGACTGTTCCAGAAATTAATGATCTACCCTGGAAGCTCAGTCAGTTGAAAAGGATGGTTGACATCACAATGATGAATAAGAGACTTTGCATGAACATGAAAATAGAAACGAAATTGTAAGTTTTCAATTGATGAATGGTTGGTAAGAAACCAGAATTAACAGTCTGCAATTTTTCCTCTAATGGTATCCTTTTTCTTGCAAAGCAAATCTATCTTAAAAGTTCATGTTTCATGTTCCATCTGTTAAACTGGATGGGAGATACAATATTCACTCTGTTTCTTTCTAACAATGTTATTTTCACAGATTTATGCCAATGTGTGCTTCTCTCTTATTTTTAACTCCTAGTTTCTCTCTCATTATTGGGATTTGTTACAAAAGAACCAGAGCCTTCCATGAAAATTCTATGTTACTCCCTCATTCATAACCTGTGGTTTTCTTTCTCATTGTCAGAAATTGCTACTGGAAGAACAGTTCAACAAAAATGAGGAATCTATTCCTCCCAGCAATAACTACAATAGATCTTTAGAAAACAGAGAGAAAGATCCATCCATTGAGCCAGAAATGGAGCCCCTGGTTGAAGCTTTGCCACTTGATGAACCAGAATTGAAAAAATGTGGATCTAATATTAGAAAAGCGAAGAAACTTTCTCCCTTATCTTCAGTACCTCTGAAAGGACCTGAAGAATCTGAAGAAGAGAAAGATGATTGCATTGTAACTAAGGCAATTTTTGACCCTGTAAAAGCAAGTAGAAGACGTGGAAGAAGTTCCCAAATGGACATGCTTGTTAAAACCCCAACCAAGGAAGGGGCACAGAGAGCACAGAGGGGGGAAGATAATGGAAACACAAGTATGGTTGCCCCGTCTTCAGAGGAAAATCCAAGCCAAAACAGCGCGGTAGAGATCAGAGAGTTTGAAGAGAGGAAGGCTGATGGGGTCATGTGTCGTGGGGCAAAAGGGGTGAAGAAGGCAAAGAAGGGGGTAGATAATGGAAGTATATGCATGGTTTCCCCATGTTCAGAGGAGAATGCAAGCCAAAACAGCAGGATTAGAATAGTTAAAAAACTCTCACTTTCTCCCTCATCTTCAATACCTCAGAAAGGATGCAAAGAACCTGAAGAAGAGAAAAATGATAATGCAACTTATGACCCTAAAAAACCAAGCAGAAAACATGGAAGAAGATCTGAATTGGACATTTCTGTTAAAACCCCAACCAAGGAGGGGGCAAATAAAGCAAAGATGGGGAGAGATAATGGAAACAAAGGTATGCTCACCCCATCTTCAGAGGCGAATCCAAGCCTAAACAGCAAGAAAGCAAAGACAAAAGCCAAAGAGTTTGAAGAGACGAAGACTGATAGTATCAAGTATCATGGGGTAAAGAAGGCGAAGAAGGGGAAGGATAATGGAAGCAGTCCATGTTTAGAGGTGAATCCAAGCCAAAAGAGCAAGAAAGCAAAGACTAAAACTGAAGACTTAGGAGCGAAAAAGACAAAGTGTGCTGAGATTTACGTGAGTATCCCTCATATGAGAGTTTCAACGAGAGCGAGAACTGGAACTGATGATTTGGCCATGCTAGCTGGAACCTGTAAGGATATGAGTTTGGCTACTTATTATCTTGTTCTTCAAACCTTGTATATTCAAGGTGATCACACATGGGGCAATGAGATATTTCTTGCTGGTCTTCGAGCTGCACTAGCGATCAGTAATGATGAACACATGGAGGAATTGAAGCGAGTCACTTCTAACAAATTTATCACTTCTTAAAAGGTGATAAAAGGTGGGGATTTTGTGGGTTTTGCTTGTGAATAGGGTGAGGCGTTTTTGTTGTGGAGGTCAAAATGGTATTGGCATGTTTTTTTTTGAAGGTCCTTACAGTTTTTGGGCTATTTTAGGTAGGATGTAAAGGCATTCTGAAATAGGTGGTTTGGGTTGTGAATGTAGTTTTTAGAGATAATAGCTTGTTTTTTTGACCTTTGCTGATACTAATTTCAGACGGGTGGAAATCAGACTGGGGGAAATTTCAGACTGGTGGAAAGGGGTTTGGGTTTGGGTGGGGGAAATTTCAGACTGGTGGAAAGGGGTTTGGGTTTGGGTTTGATTATGCGATACCTGACTAATTTCTCTCTCATTTTTCTCTCCAGATTCATGTTGAAGGAATTGGAGGAGCATGTATAGTAAGATTCAATGGTTTATGGCATCTTCGTAATGTGCTTTAGTCGTCGATTAATAATATGATTAATAACTGTCAATTTGGGGTGGATGGTTTTTAGTTTTTTTATAAATGCTACAGCCAGTTTTCATTGCGTTTAGTCGAGTGCAATGATTTAAAAATCGCCGAGTCAAACCGGACTCACCTGGTTCAACTCGGGAATCGGCACAAGCTGTGTCGGTTCCAGCACAAAATCGGGAACCGCCCGGTTTTGCTCCGGTTCTAGAGCAGAACAGTCGGTTCTCTCCCGGTTCTGCGGTTCCCTCCCGATTCTAGCTGGTTCCCTCTCGGTTCTAGCCTTCACGTGTGTACGTGTCCCGCGTGCCACACACAACACTCACACACGTGTGATACGAGCCGTACACGTTGCCACATGCACATGTACATGCACACACGTGTGTGCATCAGGCGTGCCACATGCACCACTCCCACACGTGTATGTGTGACACGAGTGGTACATACTCCCACACATGCCACACGCACATGCCCGTGTGTACGTGGGTGCCACAGGCCGTGCCGATTCGAATCGGACTCGCCCGATTCGACTCGGGAATCCCCACAGGCCGTACCGGTTCCAGCACAAAATCGGGAACCGCCCGGCTCGAAAGCAGAACCGTCAGTTTTCTTCCGGTTCTAGCGGTTCCCTCCCGATTTTAACCGGTTCCATCTCGGTTCTAGTTGGTTTTCGACCCGGTTTTAACCTTCACACGTGTACACACTCCCACATGTGCCACATGCACATGCACTAGTGTACGTGGGTGCCACAGGCTGTGCCGGTTCGAATCGGACTCCCCGGTT